AAACAAATATAATCCCCGTAACATGATTGAGTTTCAAATAAATAGACTGGTAGGTCCTGGGTTCGAATCTCGTGAGGCGGGATCGTGAATGCGCACTGTTGAGGAGTTTCATAATAGGATGAAACGGCCTTCCACTGCTTCCAAGTTTTCCATAGTGGTCTAGCTTCAATCGACTCATGATTTCAACTATATATAAAAATAGATGTTTAATCAAGAAAAAATTGAAATGCTTGTTCTAAATAGTTAGATATAACATTAGTAATGAATATAAATGACTTACTATTATCATAAGTTGTTTCAGTTATATACAAGAATAAAGTAGGAATAAGATGTAATAATAAGATATCACTTTTACAGTAGCTGATGAGCATCCTATGCTCCTACATGGGGTGTAGCAGGCGAAAATAATTAAAGTAACTTTTACAGTAGATTCATTTCTGTGTTAAGATATTTAATACTTTGTTTACGACTAATCGAAACAACTGTACTGAGCTAAAACATGGAGAAATACTACATCCATCGTCAAGAAGGTACAAGTATTTATAAACAGTTATCTACGCAAAATACTCAGCATCCATTGGCCGGATACAATCAGAAGCAGCCTTCTATGGGAGAGGACAAACCAGCTTCCAGCTAAGAGGAGATTAGGAAAAGATGTTGGAAGTGCATAGGATATACATTGAGGAAATCACCAATCTGCATCACGAGGCAATCCCTAATTTGGAAAACGGAAGGGAAGTGGAAAAGAGGAAGACCAAAGAACACATTACGTCGGGAAATAGAAGCAGATATGTAAAGGATGAATGTTAACTGGAAGGAACTGGAAAGAATTGCCCAAGGCAGTGTTGGATTAAGAATGCTGGTGGATTGCCTATTCTCCTCGACGAGGGGTAACAGGCGTAAGTAAGTAAGTAATCGAAACAACAAGTAATTTACAGAAAACGGCGATAATAAATCTTACTATTTCAGGGGTAAATGTCTCCTTAAAATCTACAGCTTTGTAGAGGTTCAACACTGGTACTTACCTTGCTAGTTTAAATGGATACGATTACCTAAATGCGCCAGGTAAACTATGGTGAGCATTTCTCAAAGAATCTCATATTAAACAACTACCTTTCGACAGAAAATTATTATAAAAGTCTCAAGTCAACTAATCTCTACCCACATTCAAATATGTCGTTTCAATAAACTATTACTGTTTTCTTAGTTGTTCGTAATGGAGATATCATTTTGTGAAGTATTTGGACACCAGCGTCTCCCAACTTTTTTTATTTCCAGTATATCATCGTTATCAATCAAGCGAAAGGATAAATCTGTTTGGAAATTTATCCAAAGTAAATAACTCAATAATTTTTCATACAAACCAGCTAAATTTAGTAACGAATAATTTGAAATCTCAGTATGGTACTTGGATGTATTGTTAAAGTACCTAATTAAATAGAAACTACTAACTGTTCCATACAAGTAATGGTACTAAGTGTATATTCACATTTTAATGTATTAAAAACTAACCAAATAGATAAAAATGTTATTCTGGCGAGACTATAATTTATGGACGAAGCAATCAGATATAAGATAATAGGTCTCGGATTTTGACGCGAAATACACTCATCCATTTGGATAAATAGAGTTTTGACATTACAACTGATGTCTTTTCGTGATGAAAATCCGAAATCTAATTCCCAACCTTAACCATTAACTGTAAATCATAATTCTAATTCCTTACACAGGTTTATAACCTTCATTTGGTCTTAGTTATTAAGTAGACACTCTCAAGATCATTCTAGCGTCACTCAAAAGTCATCCATAAATTATAGTCATGCCGTTATTCTTATTGATTTGAAGAGTGAATATTCACACGGTAAATGTTAAAAACAAGTGAATGTTTCTTTCTTCAAATCATTACTATTATTATTAAATATATTTTCCTTGTACATGACAAACAAATGAATGATATTAACCAACGAGCCAACCAACTAAACAAACAAATAAGAAAAGCTATAAATATGAAATATTATACATGGTTGAAATCAGGAGTCATTTGAAGCTAGAACACAATGGAAAACCTGGAAGCACTGAATGGCCGTTTCGTCCTATCATGGGACTTCTCAGCAGTGCTCATCCACTATCCTGACTCGCGAGATTCGAACCTAGGATCTATCAGTCTCGCGCGCAAGCGCTTAACCACTAGACCACTGAGCCGACCGACATCCAACAGTGTTAATGTCTAACTTCAACCAATCCACGAAGTTGAGCAACCATTCACCAATTTCTTCAGTGAGTTGATATCTCCCAACAGACACTTTGAAATCAACTTAAATAGACGTTTTTAGTTCGAAGCAATTAGTCTCTTGATAGATTTCGATAGTGTAAAAAGAAGACAACGATTATCACAAATATGTGATATGTATTAGCGCTATACATTTCGAACAATCTCATCCCACATGTACTTGTTAAGAACATTTATATATAAAAATAAAAGGTCAACTAGACTGAAAATGGGTGAGGGGTAAGAGGAAACAAGGATAATAATAATAAAAATAATGAGGGAACAATTTGAAACCTAATCACTCTGGATAATAAGCTAATGTTGCCAGGGTAGGTTTAAGGTGAGAACAAACTTTTTTTGAATACACCAAGGGAGTTTGAATTTTCGTATGTCTAAGGCTTTAATAAGTCATAGTAAACCTTAATATAAAAGGGCGTATACTGAAGTTTATTAAAGCCTTAGCCATACGAAAATTCAAACTCCCTTGGTGTATCCAAAGCAGTTTGTTCTCACCTTAAACCTACCCTGGTAATATTAGCTTATTATCCAGAGTGATTAGGTTTCAAAATTGTTTTCACATTATTTTTATTAGTATTAATCAAAACCCTTAGCTATCGAATACGCACTATATGTTCGGCGGATGCAGTTGACAATGAGCTAAACACATTACATAATGCTCTAAGGGAGAACGGGTATCCCAGAAAATTTATAATTAAATATATGATCTTTAAAGTGAAAATAGGCGAATTCCAAACGGTCAAGAAAAAGTCCTTGTTCATGCGCCTACAATTCAGGGGGGATGCCGCTGACGAAATACTTGCTCAGAGATTACGCAGATCTATCCAAAAATCTTTCAACGCAGGTGAACTACGTTTGGTGTTTTCTACGCGTCCAATGGTGACACCGAGGCTTAAAGATGAAGTTCCTAGAATGACCACTTCATTTTGCATTTATCAGTTCGACTGCTCCTGTGGAGCAAGTTATATTGGTCGAAGTTCTAGGAATTTACATTTTCGTGCTCGTGAACACCTCCCAGCGTGGCTAAGCAAAGGTCTGATGAAAAAAGTAAACAGCTCGATTTTGGCCCATTTAGTACAAACCGGTCATAGTGCCAGTATAAACCAATCTTTTTCAATTATTTATAGGGTCAGTAATTTTTTGCATAAGCTTGTCAGGCTTAAAGTTCTTCAAACGGCGGAGGCAGTAGCCATCAGAATGAAGAAACCTGAGCTATGTATACAGAAGAAATAAATTCAACCCCTACTTCTCCCTTGGCCAACCACAAGGCCAATTAATGAACAATCATCTTAGCTATTGTATGACCTAATTTGACTATGTACTTACGACCTTTCGTAGTCAAATGTAATTGTCTCTCTTATCTTTATTCACAAATCTTTGTATTATTATTATTATTATTATTATTATTGTTATTATTATTATTATTATTATTATTATTATTATTATTGGTTAAATATCATTATTAATCCCCCCTAAACATGATTCATTCACATCGCATTGATCCCTCCTTATTACGTCTCACTAATTTTTCACACATTTAGTCTTCCACTTGATCGAATTGTAATTACACTATCATATATCTCTCTCACCCTATCTGACCCATATTATTCATTTTTGTTGACTCCTCTTACCCCCTCTTTCCAGTCTAGTTGATCTTCTATTTTTATATATAAATGTGCTTTTCACAATTTATCTTATTATGATCTACATATTATTTCTCTCGCCAGGATAACTAACAACTTCGGTTGCATTTCTACTTGATTGAAAAATAAAACTTATCTCGATTTACATTCACTGACAGCAGCAGTATAGCAGGGTAATGAAATGGATGTGTTATTCCGAAGTTAAAATTGTATCAACACTCAGATGGAACAGTCAGATATAGTTAAATTTTGAATGTAAAAATGCAAATTCTAACACTCAATCAAAGCACTTTATGGTATTACGATTTGAACTAATCAAATTACAAAGCTGCACCATTTACAGTCAATTAGAAAAAAATTATTACAGGTGCTGACAAAATGTTTGTTCATTCATTATCACTTGAGCACACACTTTCAAAAACAAGTTCACCAATCACCAATTCGTAAATTTCTTTATCCCACCCTTACATTTCCAATCAATAGGTGGTAGGGGGTGTTCATAATTGCCGTGAAATTAATGCCAACCTCTTAACAAGTATACTATATATGATCAGATTGATTCGAAATGCATTGCGCTAATATATCATCACATAAATTCAATTAGTATTGTTTGTTTGAATCTTCTCATTGATGTTTTTTAGGACTGCAACTGGTCAGTCTCTAATTGACATATGTGCATACTGTGCCTGTTGCCTTGATATAGCCTGAATTCATAAGCATGGTAAGCAAACAATACTAATTGAATTTAAACTTCACCCCATCGCACAAGCAAGTGGTTATCAGGACTCAGTGGTCGAGTGGATAATGCGATGGTGTTTGAATTCAAAGGTACTGGGTTTGAGTCCCAGAGTGAACATAAACTCTGAGATGCAGGTGCATATCCAGGTGACGAGTCCCAAATAGGACGAAGTGGCGCACATCCTGGATTTCACTACTAGCCACTATCCATCTTTGCATATCATCACATAGTTCTGATAGTCTTTGTCTTCTATCGGAAGTTTTTAGTTCGATTATGAATAGTTTCCTTTTTTTTAAAAAAAACACAACTTTAAATGAAAAATCTACAAAAGTATTATTTGTAACCAATGTATATATATGTATATGTATAGGTATATGTCTATATATAGTTAGATGATCAAATGAACAATTACTATTATGTTATCATACAAATATTAATATTCATTGTATTAAAATGAACATTCAATAATACAATGAAGTTTAGTTGCTAAGGTCAGACAAACAAACAAACAAATCACAACAGTTGTTTCTAATAGAATTATTATTCCATAATTTAATCACAACATTATTTTAATATGGACTTGAGAAATGTTTCATTTTTAGATGTTTTGACGAAGTAACCAACTGTATTAGATTGACGGGGGGGGAGGAAGAGGGGAAACAGTTGACTTCATGAAATAATGAAAAGAAAAGAAAAACCTTTTTTTTTACGGAATATACAGATATGATTCTTTGTTTAAAAAAAAAGTGAATATAACTCAACCAGTTATTGATTCTAATTCATATTGATTGGTTTGGAACTAGTTTGTCTATGTGATAATTGTCTTTGAAATATACTTGAATCGTCTATATTTGAAATGGATGCATTACATGAAATGTCTATTTCTTTTTGTCGTCTTAAACAAAATGCTTCTGTAAAAAGAAAAAAAAAAGGATTGAAACATGAATAATTAAAACAAAACATGGTAAATATTAGAAACATTCAATGATAAAACGATTCTATAGAATAAGAGAAGATTATGATAGCATAGTGTTAATGCATTAGTGCCCTATACAATGGATTTTAGTTCTTATACGAATTTTATTTCTTTTAAATAAAAATGTACATTCAAGAAGGCCGTTGACTTTTATTCGCCTTCATACTTTACACTCTAAAAATAGGGATCAGTCAGTCAGTCAGTCAGTCACAACGTAGAACTTCGTATGTACATATATCAGTTCGAGTTACCATACCACATTAACACAGAAATGCAGTTATCGATTCAAATCCCATAGTGGTAGAAGTAGTAAGAGCATAAGCAATAATGTGAAAGATTAGGATTTGAAGATGTTATTGAGGGAGTATAATACAGTGAAATAAATTTGAAAAGAGAAAAAATATAGAGACATGAAGAATTCAGAAGATTAGCATTTGAGAGAACACAAAGAGTGAATACACCTTCGCCATTGCAAACGATTTTCAGCCTTGTTATTCAGGGTCTCTAACCATCGATCACTATCATCTCGCAAATCCCAATCAAGTAGTCTACACCTACCAACATGACTCAGTCCAATTGTCAGTGACTTCATGGATTTGTGTCATGTTTTGGTCTGGCCGCCCCTAGCTTTCTTTTAACTTACTGCTAAACCATAAAACATTGCACGTCGGGGTAGTCGGTGGTTCGGCATACGCAACACGTATCCCAGCCATCTCAACTGATGAAGTTTCACTACCTCGTCAATCGATTTGCCATCTTTACCTAGTACCCGTTTCCTAACGATACATTAGACTAAAAATGCGACCAACTTTGTAACTGGATTAGAGTGGACTACTACCAAATAATCCATTTTACCTCTTCTCAGAGTTAACATTCCAGTCATTCTGTCAAACTGAAAGTTGTGATCTATGGTTAACAAGAACTGAAAATTCAACAGTATATCTTGGTATGACGTAGTAGTCTCACTAGACCACAGAACCTACACTAGTCCTAGTTAAAAAAACTACATTCTATAGTAATGGAATTAACTATGCAATCTCAAAATACAACAGCTATTTCTTCGCTAACAATGATCACCTAGCACCGGATACACAAATGATTTGAAATAACAAGCTGAACTTTAGTCAATGCATTTGAAGGTAAATATGAGATATTTGTCATTTCGTGATATTTTCTTTACAGTACTTCGTTAGCTTATTTGCCTACCTATAATGCTTTCGATTAGTAATTAGTACTACTGTAATTTTCACAGTCGAATTCACAAGCTGATCTAAACTAGATCACCATTCAAAACATAGAAGCACTCGACGGCCGTTTCGTTCTCGCACGAGTTTCCTCAGCAGTGATCATCAGCGATCCAGCACGTAGGACTCAAATCCATGAACTTCGGTCTCGCTCACAAATACTTAACCTGTAGACCACTAAGTCAGTATCCAACAGTGTTAATGTCTAACTTCAATCGATTCATGATCTTGCGCAACCCATCATCCATTATGTAAGGTGGATAACTATCTCAAACATGACACGGACTGGAATCCCCATACATCATATTTTCCAAATAATATAATAATATTTTTATATTACCATGGCAACTAACCTTTAGTTTCTTTTAAAAAATGTTGTGAATCAAGCCAATTTTGTTCATATTCTTCTTCATCAGCAGCTTTTTGTACATAAAAACAATTAACAAATGTTGCAAATATATTCATAAATATTAATAAACAAAAACAACTAATCACTATGGGTAAAAATAAATTTTTTAATCGATTTACACAACCTTCAGGGTAAGCTAAATAATATGGTATCACATAAAGATGATGATTAATTTGAGGAGATTGTAGTGTTGGTGAGGGAATGTTTTTATTTTTAGTTAATATTGAAGCATTATTACAATGTTCATTTGTATAAGTTTGTAAATCACAACATGAATATGGTACATGTTGTTTAGGTATTGCTTCATTAGCCACATCATAATCGTCATAAGCTATTATTTAAAAAAAAAAAAGAATTAGAAAGAAGGGAAATTAACATTGATGAGATGATACGAAACATATACATATATAACAACAACAACAATTGAGTATTTCTTATTGCATAGAAGTTAGGAGAATTTCGATAATCATGAGCTTAGTTGAAAGCATGTGTCAATTGAAGCTAGACCACTGTGGAAAACCTGGAAGCACTGGACGGTAGTTCCGTCCTATTGTGGGACTCTTCAGCAGTGCGCATCCACGATCCCGCCTCACGAGATTCGAACCGAGGACCTATCAGTCTGATGATAATTATGAGCTTACTAATATGTTATCATTGACAAAATAAATATGGAACATTAAATAGTCGTGAACAGTGCATTTCAAATTATTCATCAGATCTTACTAAATATAACCCATTCTTTAAGTATATATCATTCACATATAACTGAAGCCATCAGTATCTATCTGAATAAATCTATCCTTTGTGTTCATAAGAAATTTTTAACAACCATTCCCCTTATTCACTTAGTATTGTTTGTTTGAATCTTTCCATTGATGTTTAGGACTGCAACCGGTCAGTCTCTTATTAGCCATATGTGTATACTGTGCGTGTTGCTTCAATATAGCACAGTATGCACATATGCCAATTAGAGACTGACCAGTTACAGTCCTAAACATCAATGGAAAGAATCAAACAAACAATACTCAGCGTGTTATGACTTGACCTAGCCGTCGCCAATCGTTATGTCTTGATAAAGGTCGTAGCTAATTTGTTATGACCTTACGAATTTAACAAGGACGTAACTTGTGTGAATTATACGCCAATAGAAATGCGACTTCTACGACCTTCACACTGTGACAATGACGTTCGATTAATATGAGTAATCTAGCGTCCTTATTGGCCCTTAATCCTCCTTAATCCGCACTTGAGTTCAGAACACCAATAGCAGCCTCGACAATATGAATCGTTTATTTCAAGCATACTTTGTTTATATATCAGACAGACAGGCCACATCATACCATAAAATAGAAAATAATATTTGTACAAAACCAAGCCAAATGAGGCTGTAAGCGTGGGAGACAATAATCAATAAACTGAGCATAACATAGGAACAGTAAATCATACAATAATAATCAATAGGTCAAAATGAAGCTTACAGTAAGATGAATATAGATATAGATAATCTGGTTACTGAATAGTTATACAATAAGAATAATAGTCCAATAGTAGGTCCTGCAAGTTACCCGTGCTTATGTCTTCACCACTACATAACACAGTGAATTTTAACTTCACCTCATTGCACAAGCAAGTGACTATCAGGACTCAGTGACCGAGTAGATAACGCGATAGCGTTTGAAGCCAAAGGTACTGGGTTCGAGTCCCAGAGTGAATATCAACTCTGAGATGCAGGTTCATCCACCTGATGAGTCCCAAATAAAACGAAAAGTGCGTCCTGGATTCCACTGCTAGCCATTATCCATCTTTGCTTACATTCTCCCTATTTTTGACATCATGACAGTCAATGTCTAAGTAAGTTACTGTTGATTTTTTACAGAACCTGTCTTTTAACAATATCTTTGTATTAAAATTACTATTCTCTTTTTATTGATTAATTGTGACATACTCTTTATGATTACACTATTGTTATTAATACTGGACTCAATAAATGTAACTAATTCTTTTATATTGTGTTAAGCATTTTGTCGATTATATAACTACATACCATAATTCATACATTTATCAACTAATTCCTCGGATATTCGTTCTTTGTTTTTCATCTGATCTTTTAATTAATTAATTAATCATGATAGATTATTATCAATTTTGATATCCGTAAGTGAGACATTCTTTCCAGTTATTTTCGATTGCTATTCATGTTTTTGATATCTGCCTCTAAAAGAATGAATAGCAATTAGAAACAACTGGAAAAGGATTTCTCAGAACAGAATTCGATGGAGAATCCAGATAGGCGGCTTATAGTTCTCCATGATGGATAACAGACATACGTAAGTAATTACGTAACTGAAAATTATCTATAGTTAAAGGCTGGAACTTACACTGTTAAAGTATGTGTTACATCCCGAAGAGAATTATGAATGGTAAGTTTGAGATCGATTTATGAACTAATATTATGCATATATTTTTTATCGTATAATTGCTAAATAACTAAACTCCGCCTGTAGCTCCTCCAGGGGCTACTGCCGGTCCCAAGCCCGGGTAAAGGAGGAGGGTTGGGCATGGGGTTAGCGACCCCATCCCGTAGAAAATCAACTCGCTAAAAAAACGCTAACCAGAAAAATTCATTCAAACCATTCAAACTCTGCCCTGGGAGTAGAAGGAAAAATGACGTCTCATGATGAAAGCCGAGTTCCTTCGGAAGTCATGAGGCCGATGCACCTTCTTACAACCAGAGCGACAATTTTTATAGGTACATGGAATGTCCGGACAATGTGGGAGACCGGCAAAGTCTTCCAAATCTCTGCGGAAATGAGGAAATACAACCTGGAAGTGCTTGGAATCAGTGAAACACATTGGACGCAGGTTGGACAACAACGACTGTCTTCAGGGGAACTTCTGTTATACTCCGGTCATGAAGAAGAAAATGCCCCACATACACAAGGAGTGGCACTGATGCTGTCTAGAAAAGCACAAAATGCACTTATAGGATGGGAATCTCATGGACCGAGGATCATCAAAGCCTCCTTCAGAACAAAGAGAGAGGGCATTACAATGAACATCATCCAATGCTATGCGCCGACCAACGACTACGATGAAGACGCTAAAAACCAATTCTACGATAGGCTGCAGTCAATCTTCGAGAAGTGACCAACCAAGGACCTGACCATTCTAATGGGAGATTTCAATGCCAAGGTTGGAAAGGACAACACTGGATACGAAGACGTCATGGGACAACATGGACTGGGAGGAAGGAACGAAAACGGTGAGAGATTTGCAAACCTATGTGCCTTCAATAAACTGGTCATAGGTGGCACCATATTCCCACACAAAAACATACACAAAGCCACTTGGATTTCACCGGATCACACTACACAGAATCAAATCGACCATGTCTGCATCAACAAAAAGTTCAGGAGGACGATGGAGGATGTGAGAACCAGGAGAGGAGCTGATATAGCATCCGATCACCATTTGCTGGTCGCCAAGATGAAACTAAAACTCAAGAAGCACTGGACAATGGCGCGGACAACATCACAAAAGTTTAACACGGCCTTTCTTCGAGATGCTGACAAACTCAACGAATTTAACATAGCCCTCAGCAACAGGTTCCAGGCCTTTCATAACCTACTCAATGAAGAGGGAACGACCATAGAGAGCAGCTGGAAAGGTATCAAGGAGGCAATCGTTTCAACATGTCAGGAGGTTCTGGGCCAAAAGAAGCACCATCACAAGGAATGGATCACTGTTGGTACACTGGATAAAATTGAAGCAAGGAGGAACAAGAAGGTAGCAATCAATATCAGCCGAACAAGAGCAGAAAAAGCCAAGGCACAAGCCGAATACACAGAGGCAAACAAGCAAGTGAAGAGGAGCATCAGGACTGATCGACGTAAATATGTGGAAGATTTAGCGATGACAGCGGAAAAGGCTGCAAGAGAGGGAAACATGAGACAACTGTATGATACAACAAAGAAACTTGCTGGAAATTACCGTCAACCAGAAAGACCAGTGAAAAACAAGGAAGGCAAAGTAATCAACGATATTGAAGAACAACGAAACAGGTGGGTAGAACACTTCAAAGAACTCTTGAATCGACCAGCTCCACTGAACCCACCCAACATCGAAGCAGCACCCACAGACCTCCCAATCGATATTGGCCCACCAACAATTGAAGAGATCAGCATGGCCATTAGACAAGTCAAGAGTGGCAAAGCAGCGGGACCAGACAACATCCCGGCAGAGGCACTGAAATCAAATGTAACAGCAACTGCCAAGATACTCCACATCCTCTTCGGTAAGATTTGGGACGAAGAACATGTACCAACAGACTGGAAAGAAGGACTTCTCATCAAGATACCAAAGAAAGGCGATCTGAGCAAATGCGACAACTACAGAGGCATCACTCTCCTCTCAATACCAGGAAAAGTCTTCAACAGAGTATTGTTAAACAGGATGAAGGATTCCGTGGACGCTCAACTTCGAGATCAACAAGCTGGATTTCGTAAGGATAGATCGTGCACAGATCAAATCGCAACTCTACGTATCATTGTGGAACAATCAATCGAATGGAATTCATCACTCTACATCAACTTCATCGACTACGAGAAGGCATTTGATAGCGTGGACAGGACGACACTGTGGAAGCTTCTTCGACACTACGGTGTGCCTGAGAAGATAGTAAATATCATACGGAACTCCTATGATGGACTAAACTGCCAAATCGTCCACGGAGGACAACTCACCGACTCGTTCGAGGTAAAGACCGGTGTTAGGCAAGGTTGCCTACTCTCACCCTTTCTCTTTCTCCTGGTGATCGACTGGATTATGAAGACGTCAACATCTGGAGGAATGCACGGGATACAGTGGACAGGCAGGATGCAGCTTGACGATTTAGTCTTCGCGGATGATCTGGCTCTTCTATCACAAACGCAACAACAAATGCAGGAGAAAACGACCAGTGTAGCAGCAGCCTCAGCAACAGTAGGTCTCAATATAAACAAAGGGAAAAGCAAGACTCTCCGATACAATACAATATGCACCAATCCAATTACACTTGACGGAGAAGCTTTGGAGGATGTGGAAATCTTTACATATCTGGGCAGCATCATTGATGAACACGGTGGATCAGATGCAGATGTGAGGGCGAGGATCGGCAAAGCAAGAGCAGCATACCTACAGCTGAAAAACATCTGGAGCTCAAAACAATTGTCAACCAACACCAAGGTTAGAATTTTCAATACAAATGTCAAGACAGTTCTTCTGTATGGGGCAGAGACGTGGAGAACTACGAAAGCCATTATCCAGAAGATACAAGTGTTTATTAACAGCTGTCTACGCAAGATACTTCGGATCCGATGGCCAGACACTATCAGCAACAAGTTACTGTGGGAGAGAACAAACCAGATTCCAGCGGAGGAAGAAATCAGGAAGAAGCGGTGGAAGTGGATTGGGCACACTTTGAGGAAATCACCCAATTGCGTCACAAGACAAGCCCTCACATGGAATCCTGAAGGTCGAAGGAGAAGAGGAAGACCAAAGAACACATTACGCCGAGAAATAGAGACAGACATGAGAAGAATGAACAAGAACTGGAAAGAACTAGAAAAGAAGGCCCAGGACAGAGTGGGATGGAGAAAGCTGGTCGGCGGCCTATGCTCCATTGGGAGTAACAGGCGAAAGTAAGTAAAGTAAGTAAGTAATTCGTATTCGTGTTCCCCTTATCATGAGCTTTATTTTGAACCATAAACTATTATTATACGATTTAACATTTTTGAGTTATCCATAGTCTATTAATTACTGCCTCCCACATTCACAGCCACATTGGTCTAAATCTTGTACAAATGTTATTTTCTATTTTATTGGCACGATTTGGTCAGTCTGTTTGATATATAAACTCAGTAAGTTTGAAATGCAAGGATTCATACCGCAATGGCTGTTCTGGACTTAACTGGCTGGGCTGGGCAGAAGTAGGACCGATACGTACTCTAGACTGTTCATATGGTTTGTGTGTATCACTGTTCCAATCGATTATCCGCTGTTCTCTGATTGGCGGTCTTATCACGTCATACGTAACAAGGCATCCACTCAGCCATAAGTTATAACAGTATGTTATCATAGAATTTAGTGTAAGAAATCTTTCTAATCTATATAAGTTGAGGTTGAAAGTAAAGATGATAAATAAGTTTTAACACAATATTGACTTAAACACGTAACTTGATAGATTGACAGCTGATAAACACCAATAGTTCAATGATACTCCAACGAAGAAGAGATAGAAAAATTACTTCATAATAAAGTCTTTATGAGATTATGTGGCTTAATCAGACTATTAGGGTTAAAATAATTTTGATGTCCGAAAATTCATAAATAATGAATTTTGTTGTGGTAACCTTGTGGTGTGGTCTACTTATATCCTCAAGAGTAGTATATGGTGATGGTTAGACATAGAATATATTTTGGTAGAAGATCGATAAGAAAACGCCAGGAATGAAGTGCCATCGGTATGAATATGTATGAATAATGAAATCAGAGAAGATGGATTGATATTTGCAGAAGGAACAGTTAGGATTGAGACAATCGATTGTTATTTTGTAAATTAATTGTTTACTGTATGGTTATCAAATTTTAGTGAAATAGTCTATAATTTGTGCTTTAATGCATTCGATTGTCCCGACCCGTATTTTGTTCACTAAAACCTCAGTAGGTTACAATATTAGTCTTAATCAATTTCAACAAATTTATACACTTAAAGATCTTTCATTACTGACCAAATCAAGCTATTGTAACTGATTTATTAATTACAGTTTTATGCATTTGACTCTCACATTCACTATTAGTTTTGAAACTATTGATACCATCCGGTTACCTAGAATGAACTAGTTCGCTCATAATATTAACAGTCAAGACAGAATGCATAGAATGTCAGTTTACAAAATTACCTATCTGTAGTATGTTAAATTAAATGACATGACAAAACTTACATCCTCTACCGCAACAATGAAGAGCTTCTTGTATATTTGCCATAACTGTTTTATCTTCTAAACCAGGTTGAAACATTTGAACAGCAAATGTTACACCGACTTCTAAATGTCTTAACCATTGTGATAATATAGTATAGAGAATACCACCTTCTAACACTGCTAAAAATACCAGGGCGAATATCTAGAAAGATAGGAAATTAATAATTAAGAAATGATTATCAGAAGGGGGTTTTGTGGACATTTTAGCAATTTTACATAGTTGAGATAATGAGTCAATGGAAGCTATACAACCATGGAAAACCTGGAAGCACTGGACGGCCGTTTCGTCCTATTGTCGGAGTCCTCAGCAGTGCGCATCCTTGATCCCGCCTCACGAGATTCGAACTCAGGACCTATCAGTCTCGCGCGCTAGCACTTAACTGATAGACCACTGAGCCGGCCGGCATCCAACGGTGTTTATGTCTAACTTCAACCAAATGATTAGTTTGAAGACTGATAAAAGTTTCTGCAGAAATTAATCAAAACTGACCAAGTGTATATGTCAGATCGTTTGTCGTTCTCATCAATGAATTGAAGAGTCAATTAAAAATATCTAGACTTATATAATTGTAGATTTGCAATTTTTAAAAAAGGTTTTATAGAGATTTAGATTCCAGGACAGAGTTTGATAGATAAACCTGATGGGTGGCCTTTGCTCTTCCACCAGAGGTAACAGGAGTAAGTTAGTAAATAAGTCTGTGATCAAAAATAAATTCTTATTATTTTTGTCAAATCCAGGCAAAAATAAGGAAAATTCCAAAATGTCAATTCCAGATCAGCTTAAATCAATGTTGCAGCTGCAGAAAAAAGAATTTCAAGCATTACAACTGAAAATGATTACACAAAAGTTTTCATTCCGAGACAATTCAGTTCAAGTGTCTGAATTAAGCGGCTCAACTACCTAATCACTGATTCACTCAATGAGCGAGTTTCCTTTTGATTCTGATGCTGGTGTCACATATGAATCATGGTTCAAGTGGTATGAAGACATTTTCCAAGTTGAGTTTTCTTATCATGATGACGCTTCGGAAGTAAGAATTCTACTTCGTAAGCTTGGCGCAGCCGAATATGAAAATTATTTGAACCTTGTCTAACCAAAAAACTAAACGTTGTTTTCTTTTGATTCTACTAGTATCTTAAGCAGAAAAGAGTCAGATCACAATCTTACGTTCCGAGATATTGCAAATGTATGATGTCTTATTAATAATGTTAAGAATGTGACTAAAATGATCGAATGTACAAATCCTAATCATACATCTGACGTTAGTCCTAATTCATTTCACTTGATGAAGATTTCTCATTCAGACCATATTATTAGTGTCACAAAGCATAGTTCGCGAGGATTTTCTCACGCAAATCGAATTTCTAATGGATATAACTCTTATTCGCGTCGCTCCCCAAGGTCTCTCACTTGTTCCTGAAACCGTGGGGAATGAATATTTTCTCGTTTCTGCTGACTCGATAAAATTTGGAGTAAGTGGCTACAAGGATGGATTTTGTATACGTAACAGACCCTCATTATATTATCAAATGCTAAAAGGAGCTAATCATGTACATGTTTTTTAAAAATCTAACCCGACATTCTTACGCGAGTATATATCCATAAATGTCAATGATCGTATCATCACTCTGAAGGTGGATACTTCACCCGATGTTACCTTGATTTCTCGCAAAACTTTGCACAAACTTGGTAAAATGTAAATATTATTTTGGACACTAAACTGATAATGTCATATTGTAATTATTGTCTATATTCTTATATGTTTAGTTTACGGACGAAGGGAATAGGATAGAGAGAAGAAAAGGGATCATAACGTAATCGTATACAAGAACCATGTACAAATTATGAGAAACAAAATAATGAAATTCACAGTGATTACACTAAACCAATGCTAAAGTAAACAAAATAATAGTGATAATAACTACAAGGGTTGGAAGTGGCATGAGGAAATGCAATTACTTGAATGATTAAATCTATATAGATGGATTACAGATTTATTTTATGTTGAAAAAAAATTCAGACTAGCTATAATAACAATAAACAGGAAATAAAAAGTCAACTCAATAGAACAGTAAAAGTGTTACTGTGATTAAATAAATTTATCTTCAATGAACTGGCTAGCTTACGGAGCTGAAACGTGGAGAACTACTACATCCATCGTCAAGAAGCTATAAGTATTTATAAACAGTTGTTTACGCAAAATACTCATTATTCACTGGCCGGATACTATCAACAACAGCATTTTATGGGAGAGGACAAACCAGTTTCAAGGTGAAGAGGAAATTAGGAAAAGACGTTGGAAGTGGATAGGACATACATTAAAGAAATCACCAATGTGCATTACAAGGCAATCCCTAACTTGGAATGGTGAAGGAAAGCGGAAAAGAGGATGGCCAAAGAACACATTATGCCAGAAAATAGAAGCATATATGAAAAGGATGAATGTTGACTGGAAAGAACTGGAAAGGATTGCTTGGGACAGAGTTGGATAGAGAAGGCTGGTGGATTGCCTATGCTCCTGGACGAGGGCTAACAGGCGTAAGTAAGAACTGACTAGCTTCTCTTTGGACTCGATAGCTCAGTATGTTACGCATTAAGAGCTTGAATCAGAAGGACACAGGGATTGAGCCCCGGAGTTAACATAAACACATCAAGCTGAAGAGTCCCAAGTGTGAGGAAACGCACATCCTAGATTAAACCATTGGCCATCACTCAACTTTTCTAAAAACTTATAAATATATGATAATATCGATTTAATGCGCTGAAAATGTAGAGAAGCCAAGAAAAACTGATCGATCATTGAGAATACACAAACATTGACAAATTAAATTCAATGCCGTTGCATAATCTCTCCACTTCTGAGTAATGTACATATCAATGAGCTCATGAAAGCTTTAGAGCACACCAAATGAAAGGAATGTAGTTCATCCAACAACATTTATTAAATTTAAAATAATATATCGTTCACAGAACTATAAAATGAATTTTTGAGATCAATGTAGAATATAGCGAATAAATTCAACATATTGATGGTGAATATTAATTTTACTTGTACAACCTTAGAAACTTCATCTGACCACCGCTTTTGTTGTAGTCTAGGAATAATCGAATAAATCTCCACAAAAACCCCTTCTGATAATAATAATCATATGCTCAGTAGTGACCGACTTCGAGAAGTAAATCCAGGAGTTCTAATGAGAATCAGTGACCAGTGGAGTTCAAGACTACGTTTTGTCGCAAGATAGGAACTCACTGAAGACAATTGGTGAACAGTTGCTCAACTACGTGGATTGGTTGGAGTTAGATATAAACACCATCGGATGCCGACTCAGTGGTCTATCAGTTAAGTGCTAGCGAGCGAGACTGATAGGTTCCGGGTTCGTGGATGTGCACTGATGAGGAGTCCCACAATTGGACGAGACGGCCATCCAGTGCTTCCAGGTTTTCTCTAGTGGTCTAGCTTCAATTGACTCACGCTTTCAAATATAAAAATACTAAATCTCCACAATAACCCCTTCTGATAATATTTATAATCGATTGCGTTATTTTATCTTTAATATAAAAACAGGAATAGACCAAAAGTAAATGCTCATCATGAGGTAATCCTTTGATACTCCTTATAGATTAGAGTAATATAACGCATGGATATATATATATATAGTAACAATACTATACTGCTAAACAAGGAAGCAATCATTTCCTGGTTTCGAAATCAATGCTCAAAATTACTATGGTAACCAAATCAGTTTATGATTTTCATCTCACTGCATTATCCCAAATTTATTAGCACAAGACAAACCGTTTTAAATATGTTGTTTATATTACTACTATTACTACTACTACTACTACTACTACTACTACTACTACTACTACTACTACTACTACTACTACTACTACTACTACTACTAATAATAATAATAATAATAATAATAATAATAATAATAATAATAAAAAATTATTACACTTTATTTGTCAATACACTAACTGACTTAATTACTATGAAAATACTGTCAGTATGGTTAATTGTTTACTTCCTATGATTGACCTTTCATAGTAAAAAAATTTTTTCGTATTTAGTTTATTTTCTATGGAAAATATGTTTTCACTTATTTACTAATAGAATGATGGTAATTCTAAAAATGAATTGGAATCAACTGAAGAGCTGTATTGAAAGTTAAGGGAATAATGTTTAAGTGTTTCGTCAAAAAATATAGGACTCGTCAATAAGATGCATTTGTGGTTCATTGTGTAAATGAACTTGATACTTTCAGATGTTGTGACAATCTCAATATCAGAAGGGGGTTTTGTGGAGATTTTAGTAAGTTCATATAGTTGAGATCATGAGTAGTGCGCATCCACGGTCCCGCCTCGCGTGATTCGAACCACGGACTTATCAGTCTCGTGTGCGAGTGCTTAACCACTAGGCCACTGAGCCGGCATCCAATGGTGTCAATGTCACACTTCAACGAAACCACGAAATTGAGCAACCATTCACCATTGAGCTGAGGAGTCCCAAAATAGGACGAAACGGCTGTCCAGTGTTTCCAGCTTTCCCATGGTGGTCTAGCTTCAATTGATTCATGATCACAACTATTAAAAAATTAATATAGTGGATACAATATTTTCTCTCTCTGCTATGGTAATTCTAGTCTGAATGACCGAGTATAGTGGAAATCAACGAGAAGAAAAGAAATCATATATTTAATAGTTAGTAGGATAAGTGCCTGTTTGTCCACACTCAGTTACCAATCACGTTTTAATTATCAGAAGGGGTTTTGTGGAGAGTTAGTATTTTTTTTTCATAGTTGAAAGCGTGAGTCAATTGAAGCTAGACCACTATGGAAAATGTGGAAACACTGGACGGCCGTTTCGTCCTATTATGGGACTCCTCAGCAGTGCCCATCCATAAACCCGCTCTCGAGATATTCTAACCCAGGACCTACCAGTCTCGAGCCGCAGCCCTTAACCGATAGACCACTGAGTCGACCAGCATCCGATGGTGTTAATGTCTAACTTCAACCAATCCACGAAATTGAGCAACCGTTCACCAATTGTCTTCAGTGAGTTCCTATCTCACTACAGACGTGGTTTTGAACTCCACTAGTCACTGCTTCTAACTAGTGGATGCGCACTTCTAAGGA